CTACCCCCATTTATGGGAGCAGGGTGGCTCCATAGGATAAGCACTGGATTGTGAACCACAAGGATGACAGTTTGAGCCCACCAGCTACTCCATGGGAGAAAGTTTGAGGTTCTCTGCTCCCGCAAAAGATTTAAAACCTCGGTAACCCTATACAGGATTGCTGTAAGTTGGAATCCTGGTGTGGTGCCATAGGATAAGCACTCAGCCACAAGGTTGATTTAAACCACAAGGTCGACAGTTGAAACTCACCAGCCTCTTCTTGGAAACCCTAAACAGGGTAGCTATGAGTCAGAACCAACTCGATGGCACTTAACAACAACAACATTCGTCACAGCACTAATAACAATGTCCATTTATACATTTAGAACATAGGAGTTTTATTTGTGTGTTCTTCATTCAGAAAGAATGACATAATATGAAAAAATTTTCCTGATCATTTGAAGCTTGGTTTGGTTTTTATTTCTCTACATAAAGCATTTAAACTTTCCTGCCACTACAGTGATACATAGATAAATTTCATTTTGAGTCCATGTGGAAACAGATGAAACGATCTGATTCTTATTACTAATATATATTTTTTTGCTTCAAAGCAACAAATAGAGCAGCAAAAGTTCATTTTGAGTCAATGTGAAAACAGATGAAACTATCTGTTTCTTACTACTAACATATTTTATTTGCAAACTTTCTGGTTTTTATTACTAATATATTTTATTTACTTCACAGCAACAAATAGAGCGACAGTTAAAATGCTTGGCATTTCAAAACCCTGGACCACAGGTAGCGGACTTCAACCCTGAAACACGGCAGCAAAAAAAGAAAGCGCGTATGTCCAAGATGAATGAGTATTTTTCTGTGAAATACAAGTAAGATCATGATTTATTCCTTACAGTGTGTGAGATTGTAAAATGCATGAGTTCTCCTTGACAAAGTCAAGTAATTATAGGCTTCTTGGTTTTTTTATGATTTAAAATAGCCTTTATAAATTACTACAGCACTCCATATGTTAAAAAGAAAAAAACTGTAACTTCAAAACCAAAACCAATCCCAGTGCCACTGAGTCAGTTCCAACTCACAGCAACCCTAAAGGACTCCTTAGAGTAGAACTGCTCCACAGGGCTTCTGAGATCCTAAGTGTTTTAGGAGCAGACAGCCTCATCTTTCACCCATGAGGTAGCTAGTGGGTTTGAAATGTCAACCTTAAAATTAGCAGCCCAATTTTTAACCCACTGTGCCATCCAGGGATCCTTAACTCTTAGAAATCATGTTGTGTTTTTTTTAAAAAAAAAAAACAAACAAAAAAACTTCCGAAGCCCTTAAAATAGAGTAATAGCTTTAACAATAAAGATGATTAAAAGCAGCAAAGATATATCAATAGGAAAAGAAATAATATAAGCATTAGAATAGATTTAGGATTTCAAATGGGCACAGAGCTGTCATTAAATACAATAATTAGAACATCAGAGATGTATTACTATGTCAACCTTAAAGGAAAAGGTTGTTTAAAATCAGAATTAATAATCATGCATTTATGACTATTAAAAGACACTTTATAAACAAATCACACAGTAGAAGAAGATATTTATAGGCTTAAAGATCAGCATCTAAAAATATATATATATTTTTAAATCCTATAAGCTAATAAGAAAAAGACAAACATCCTAATAGAAAAATGATCAAAACTATGATCAGGCATTTCATAGAAGAAAAGAGTAATAAACAGAAAGGATACTGAACACCATCAATACAGTGTGGGGATGTACCACACCCCAGACAAGCAAAAAGTTTAGTCTGATGATACCAGTGTTGGTGAAACGATGACTCATGAATTGAGTGTAAAATGGTACAGTGACTATTTAAAACATCTTAACATTACTGATATCCACAGGTACATCAGGAAGTATTGCTACTAGGGTTCCAGTTGATACATGCATGAGTTTATTCCAAATAAAATGTGTTTAAACATGTCTCTGCAGTCATTGGGTGACTTCAGGTAAGTTCTTCCATTAATATGAGGGGACTTCAAAAAGTTCTAGGACAGATTCCATCATCTTTTTATTCCATTTTTTCATGAACTTTTTGAAGCACCTCTTACACTTAATCTCATTAGGTTGCCATTAAACAAGGTCCAATCAAAACAGTG